TATCCACAAGGTTAAGAAAACAGATATAGAAATAAAAATTTCATTTCACAGCAAAATTATAATAAAAAGTTCTGTGTCAATGCACCTGGTCCTTCTATTTAATTAATCCATTAAAATTTAATACCATTTCTTTTTGAAATTAAACATTATTATAAGGAGAAGTGCTAAGCAATCATTGCTGTAGATAAAGGGTGTGGTATGTAAGTGTGTATTGCATATTGCAGGGAAATCAGAAACTGAGCATATTTAGATGTCTGTTCATATTCAGATTTACCCCTAAAATTACGTTAATATTAGTTAACATTGTCTTACAAGTGAGGAGTGGCATAAAAGAGAAACATATTCTAGTAAATGTATAAAAAGAAAAGAAGGTAGAGTGGTCAAGTAGGGAGAGCACAAGACAATTGATGGACAGCCCAGTTGCTACAATGGCACTTACATAAGGTCCAAAGGTCCTGAGAAAGGTCTCCATGCTGGATAAAGAATCATATAGAATGAGAAGATGCAGAAGAGCTTTAATCTGTAGAAGAGAATACCCCCAAGGAACCAGAGATCCACTGAAAATAGTAAAATATTTTAAAAAGCCCAATTTGGCAGCATTTAGCAAATCCCCAGGGGAAAGGGGCAGGGAAAATACAAAATATACACCCAAAAGTATAGTTACTGTCTTTGGAGTCAGAAAATCTGGGGTTTGAGTACCTGCTCTACTACTTAGTTGGAGAGCCTCAGACAGTTCACTTAAATTCTCCAGCCCTTGTTTCCTGATTTCTAAAATGATAGGATGAGACTAGAAGATCTTTAAAATCCTTTCCAACTTTAACATTCTCTCACTACATGTGAACACCTCTATATCTACAAGTGAGATCTCTTTTGAGGCTTTCATTACAACTGGTTGGTGGAGTGTAAAGAACACCCTTGCCCAAAGCCTTGCTTGACTGATAAGAATGAGTAGCCCCTTGGACATAGCTTTTTAAAGGGGACAAACAGATCTGTCAAGCCTCTCAAATGAACTAAGAGCAGACAAAGAATCTAAGGTGAAAGAGGGGATACACTTGAAGAGTATTCAAGGGTCTGTGGTGAGGTTGAAGACCCTATTTATACAGTCACTAAGGGAACCTCTCAGCCACAGAATGGCAGCCATGGACAAACAATGATGGAACCTCCTGACATCAGAGGTGGAAGCTGTGAAGAGGTAATGATAGATTGGCAAAAAAAGCTGCTAGACAAAGAATCATGCAGCAGAGGAATTACTAAATCAAGACTCTTAGAGAAAAGAGGAACAATTATATGACTTCAGAGTGGGAGAATCAGCAAAGGACATAGCAATGGGGGTCCAGTGCATTACCACTCTTATTAATTTTTGTAAAGCAACCATGTTGGGGAGCAAATGTTGACCTTGTACTTTGTTACTGTAATGAGTTATCTCTGCTAACATGAGTGGTACTTTAAGTTTAGAAAATTATACAAGTTTCTTAATGGAGGCAGGTTTTACTTGCTTCTATCAACCTCAAAATCTCATATTTTGCTTCTGGGAGAGCCATAATTTCCATTAATTCTGGAGTAAAAAGAAGAATTAATTTTGACTCTTCATTAGCTCAAGTGCAAGTCCTTTTCTGTAGGGTGGAATAAAGGCTCTCCTACATACAATAAACTTGTCAGCCTACACGATTGGTAGAGGGCTAAGGACACTATTTGCTTTTCTGTAAGTACCTAACATGATCCAAGTTCTGAGGTTCCCAGAAAAATGCTGGGTAGGGTGTAAGACAAAAAGTGATTTGTGGAAGCCCCTTCAACGTTGAACTGACCCTTGCCCCTGTCGCTGCTCTTCTTTAGCTGCTACTTCTGGTGCCAAGAGATTCACTAGGGGTTGGGTGGAGGCTTCACTCCTGAACCCAGAGTTCCAACTTTTCTGTGTATGCCTCCTTTCAGTGCTGGTTATCTGTCTACATTTCACTGCATTCATAGCTACTTTACAGGCCTACCTACCCTCTTTTAATGACCAAGTCCAATGCTGTGATTCTGCTATTAGACTAACTAGCCTTATCTCAATCATCGTGTATGCTAATAAGCACCAAAGATCAGGGTACTTTTTATATCCCATGTGTTTGAAATTAAGATATATTTTCAAGACTAGAACAAAGGCCTCCTCATCTTTTAACCTTATTAAGTTGACTGAGCTACTCTTTCTTGTACCCCTTGTCAGGGAAAGACTCCCGTACATTATAGGGTTAAAAACCCTCTATGTTAAAGCATATGTTTTTTTCACATCTTTCCCTATCTATCTGGACATGTTTGTAGTTTCTCAGGTAAATTATTTAAATCTGTTTAAAATGGTCTCCTTCCCCCCCATATGATATGAAGAGGTATCAAATATCGAGAGGTCCTGATTTCAAGATTTATCTACAATTTCTATAAATATATCTCTCAAACACATCATAATAAACCTATAAAACCAGTTAATTACCTTAATATGATGCTACCTTAATGAAAGATAAGTATACGTTCTAATTTACAGATGAACAAACTCCTATTTAAAAAGTAAACATCTAAGGAGAGGTAAAGCTCACAATCATTATTTGTTTGAATAAAATAAATTAACCCATTGATTTTATAAATGGAACCTCTAAAGTATACTAGTTATCTAAAAGAGTTTATTACATACTTAAAGGCCCAATTTTCACCTAGGGAACAGCTCTATACCAGCAAAATCAAGCCAGTGTGCTACTTAAATCACAAGGGTTTTTCATGGTTTAGTTTCCTGGTTTTGTTTCTCCTATAGTCAATAGAAAAATGAAACACTACCCTAGAATCTTCACTCACACTTCCATCACCTATGACTCCATTCTCCACTTTAGAAGACAATGTTCTAATGTGGCTGTTCTTCACAGACATGAGGCTGACTACATTTAATCTATTGGTCTATCAGACAAAGGTACTATGTGCAGGGCCCATTTCTCTTTGTCCTACAAATACTCAATGCCTTTGATCATATAAGGGACCCTATGTCTATCAATCGCTTAGAGCTATGCCACATTATTAAACTCTAGGTCCTTAAAGAATTCCTTCTACCAGTTCTTGTACACAATCCCTTTATTTGCACTCAACATTCACCAGCTGCCTATGTAGCCTATTGTCACCTTTACTCTGAACAAAGTATGGTCCAGTGACAGTGTGCTAAAGTAGGCCTCACTTCAATGGTAGTATTCTGGCTCTGTTCCTAGATCTTGTTGGTACTTATCTCAACTTGCCATGTAACATAAGCAGTTAATGATGATGAAAATACCCAAGGACCTACATTTGTGGCAGACTCAAGATTCAGAGTCACATAGAATTGACACTATTGCTATTTTTTTCTCTTTCTTTAAAACCTGATGCCATATTAGTGCTACCAAACATTGAACACCCTAAGGAAATGATTTGATTTAAGTTTTCATCGTTTGGACAACATATGCCAATGTGATAGAATTCAGGGGAAGCTTTCAACTTTGTGCATTGATGAAAATCTCTGACTACAAATAACACTTCTGGGGCACAGAACTAGCCTCTAACTTTAGTTTCTTTAGAGTTGTATTGACTTAGTTAAAATACTCCATAATCTCTTCCATCTGTTCCTATATGTACTTCATAAAGGTAGCATGTTAGCTCACAGAAGTAACTGGAAGAGGGTCTTAAAAAGGTACACAGCTTCATCAGTTGGAAGAGTTTTGTACTGGTCTCAAAAGGACAGCTTCATGATATGGATCTATCGTATGGCTTTGCGTCACTTGACCAAGGATGGGGAACAAGCTGGATAGCACAGCATCTTTTACTGCCTACAATAACACAAACTAACATACAGTAATGAGATGTTACTGTGGCAATCCAGGTGTTCATTGTAGATGACATCTCTCTAGCTTTACTGTAAGCACAAATAAATGAGAATGCTTGACACGTGAAAGACACTTATTTAAATGTTAATAAATAACTTGTTGATGTTTTTAAAAGATGAAAAACTGACAGCAGTTTGAAATAAATGTAATAAAAGAATTAAATCAGAATTGCAAAGGGCTTATTAAATCCTGTAAAGGTTCCATTTGAAGCTTAAAATAAAAAGAAGAGGCTTCTATAAAGCAAAATGTCAAAATCAACAGGAATACTTCCACCGGAAATGGTGAAATATTTTCTTGAATTAAATTTTCATGTCCTAGAGATAAGATCATACACATAAGAGTTACAATAGGACCAATTTTCCCCTTCCAAATACAAAAAAAAATTATTGACAGAAAAGGTGATATATCTGTTTAAGTGAGAAAAAAAAATGTGACTATATTAACATATATTTGTCTGGGCTTGTAAACAACCCAAAGAAGACTCAAGAATGGTTCATGTAAGCCAGCTGAGAGTAGTCACGATCTAGCTCTGATATTTAAGTTTAAGCCAAGCTGATAGTGTTCTTTAAAAATAAGGAATAACAAATAGATGGCAATAAAAGCAAGTTTTGTAATTACATCTAATTTTGTTGGTACTTTATGTTTCAAAATACACAGAGGTCCCCAAATCAGAAACAAAAAGGGAGCTAATGAACAAATTACATCAGCAAGAAGAAAACCAACTATTTGACCACATTTACCATGGAAGAAAAATGTAGTTTGGGGACTCGTCCAAATCATGAACTGCAAAGTGAATTGGTAAGAAATTAAGTGGTAGGGGCAGCTAGGTGGTGCAGTGGATAGAGACTGGCCCTGGAGTCAGGAGGACCTGAGTTCAAATCTGACCTCAGACACATAACACTTACTAACTGTATGACTCTGTGCAAGTCACTTAACCCCAATTGCCTCATATTAAAAAAAAGGAAAAGAAGAAAAAAAGAAATTAAGTGGTAATTTCAATCTGAGCTTCAAAATGAGCAATACCATTATTTTGCAAACTACATAATACACACATTCTTTCATAAATTAGCAGTACATTCATTTCAGCATATTAGCCAAAAATAGAACACTCTGACATAAAGCATTTCTTACCTTTTTATCATATACATCTTGCCAGTTTACTCCAACAAAGAAACTATGCCTCATAATTTCTTTTGCATCGTCTGGACCTCCACCAAGGCTATCAGGGGAGAAAGTAAGTTAAGTAAATATTAACCATATAAGCAAGGAAAGTTTCATTAAGACTGTGATAGTCTACTCTTGAACAAACTATTAGTAAACACCCCAGAAGAGAATACATTGAGCATCATAATTGAAAACATAAGCATTTCTTTTTTTGCCCCCCTCAATTTTCAAGTCAAAATGGATGTTGGTTAAATATATACCATGTTTGATTTGAGATACAGATCATTAATCTAGGTAGAAAAAAAATTAAAGAATACCACTAGAAACAGAACTAATTTATGAAATTTTCATATTAGGATTTTAAGTTACTTTCCAAAGAACAATACATAAGTTTAAATTCATATGTACTATAACTATGTTGAAGCATATGAATAAATAAAAATATTTTAATAACTAACAAAAAATGGTGGTTAGGGGAGGACTCACAGTCAGGCAAGAAACTGATTTTTAGTAGACTGTTTATTCTAAAGGGTGCTCCATATGCTGAGCAAAGTGCTTTACACACAGAAGATACTTAATAAATGCTTGTTGTTGCTGACACCAAGTATTGCTTATGCATAGCAATGTAGTTATGACAAAAATATATTCTTTGAAAAATATAGTTTAAATGCAGACCAAGTTACAATTGAATGAAATTTGCTATGGGTACTACTAGTCTGGACAACAGAAGTTATGGTCATAATGCACTCAAAATTGATTTCCTACATCATCCTTGAAAACCAGTATCATTAGTTTACAATTACATGCTGAATAATTTTTTTGTTACCATTTTGTTTCCATTTATTTGAACCTGTGAGGAGACAGTGAAAAAGCTGAAATCAGACTATTCTCAGAAATGGCAGGAATATGGGGAGAATACAAAGGGGAAGGAATTGAGGGACTAAAAATAGGCCATTTTCTCTCTTCAAGGTTCAAGGAAGAGCTAGTATAATGAGAACACCAAATCTGTATGAGGGAAATGGAAGAATTAACTTCTATATTAATATTCTGAAGGCTGAAAGGGAATAGCCAGGCCAGGAGAAGATAGACAGGCTCTCTTTACAGCCTGAAATGACTCCCAGCAAGAAGCATTTTTGAAAAGGGGCAGAGGGATCCTGGATTCTTGGAGAGAAGTTGGAAAAAGATTTTGAGAAACATTCAAGACAGTTTATTCAGAATGTCTTCCATCTCCTTTCATGAGTAAATAGTTTTTTACTACTTTTGAAGTATGGATGTTTTAAGTCTATGCAATCAATACATCAAAAACTACAAATTTTCTTAAGTTACCTTATAAGCTATTCTGTGTCAATGAATTTTCCATTCTTTAACATAAGGTCAACCACACTATGCACTGTCTAAGAATAAACTCAAAGTTATCTGAGAGAAACACTTTAGAAGTAGGGAAGTAAAAATCTTTAATATCAAATGCCCTCATAGTATGAAACCACACCAAGTTTGTATATTGATAGTTGCCTTCATTCTAGTCACCAAGTGAAGCACAAGTATTACTTCAGACCTGAAAGTCAATTAATATAAATAATTAATAGTGATCAATTAGGCAGCACAGTGTATAATGTTGGACTTGGAATCAGAAAGACCTGAGTTTGAATTATGCCTCAGATACTTACTACCTTTCTGACCCTGAGGAAGTTACTTAGCTTCTCTGTGCCTCGGTTTCTTCATTTGTAAAATGGGCACAATCGTATCTATCTCACAACGTTGTTAATGAGATGCCATGAGACAACATATGTAAAGCACTTTGCAAACTTGTCATTAGTTATTAAAGAGGAAGGGCAGCATAGGACAGGAGCTGGAGAGTGAAAGATCTAGGAAAGAAGGAAGACCTTCAGGAACATCCTCTATACATGCTGGCTGTATAACCCTGGATGAACCATTTCACTTCTCTGGGATCCAAAGAACACGCTGGCTACATGTTGCAGAGAAGTTGCTTAACAGCACTGCTGAGAGGAATTTCCCCCCACAGAGAACTCTAACAATGATAAAATGACAGATGTGAGCCCCTCAAAAGAAGGGGCCACTTTGATTCAGTTCTAACAAATTCTATCTCTTTTCAGTATCCATAAATTATAGATCCCACAATCTGTATCCCAAACCAAATTCTCAATTATCTATTGATTCACAACAGTTAGGAACATCTCAGAAGCCATCTTTATAGTATGTATTATATTTACATGGAATCGTGACTTATCTTTTAAAAGGTCTCTATTTCAGTTCAAAAAACACATGTACCAATCATTTTTACAGAGTTATACATCTTTTTTTTGTGACACACTAAAAAGGAGTTGCAAAAAAAAAAAAATTCTGAATCTATGATTACAGAAATCTTAAATGTGATCCCTCGTGCTACTGGTTCCAAAGGTAAAACAAAGTGTCAGTGTCCCTTTCCTCCAGATAGGAGGTAGTGGAATATAGTGAAAAGTTGGTTGGATCTGGAAGCAGAGGACAAGGGTGCTTAGCCTAGCTCAAAACCAATGTGACCTTTGGTAAGACATTTAATTTCTTTTGGTTTCAGGCCCTTCATCTGCAAAATGAGCAGATTGCAATGACCGGATGACCTCTAAGGTTCTTTCCTACTCTAAATCTAAGATTCTGTGTCTCTCCATTAAAAAGGTCTTCAATGCTGTAGGACAATGTAAATATGCAAGATAAAAAGGGCAAATCTACGTTGTTCCTAAAAGAAAACATATAGAAATACATATGCACATATGTACATGGTGGCCAATGGCCAAACTAAGAATAATTTGACACACATAAAATACTATAAATAAAAGATCCTAAAATTATATATGTATATGTATATATGTATGTATATCTGTGTACATATATATCCATCAATATGTAGGACAGATGCTATAGACTAATGAGCTTATGCCAACCTATGAATGAATTGTTTAGACAGAAGGCTTAAAATACTTTAAATTTATGTTAGATTAAGTTTGTATTGAAATTTGGAAGGAGAGAAGTTAGCTATACAGGGAAGACTGAACTATAAAATTCCTCTCAAAAGGCCTTTCCTTTATTTTCAACTTTCAAGAATAGTCCCTGATTCTCAAAGGATTACTAATGTACATTTAAACTTATTTAAGGTTTATTTATGGTTGCAAAACATATGAATATGATCTCATCTGAAATTAACCCTGTGAAGCTGTTAGGGCAGATACCTTTATTTTACAAATAAAGGAACTGAGACTCAAAAAGTGATT